AAAAACTTGATACAAGACTCAATAAGGAATAGAGCAATTACTCAAAAACTTGCCCTAATGATAAGGTATTCGCAAAGCCAAACTACCACAACCTTGAGGGTATTATAGATTTTCCCATTTAAAACAGGCCCAAAAATAAAAGCATCTATATCCATTAAAGTGATAATTACAGAAATAAAATAACCACTACTAATCAAGTGATTTTAATCTACTCCAAATGTTCTAAGAACAATTTCTTCTAGATTTTTTTATATTTATTTATTTTTAATATAAAAGTTAATCCCTAAAGTAATAGAAATTCATTAATTTTTTTAAAAGATATTATGAGTTGCACTTATCATATCCATAATCAAGTATAATTCATTTGTATAGCTTCACATAAATGCTAATATTAGCGAAAACTCTGTTAAGATTGTATATATGACCATGAAGGGGATAACAAACAAACGATCCCAATTAAAAGATTTTAAGAAATGGCTCGGAAGAAAATACAAGATTCAAGCATGAACGATCCATATATTGCTAAATAGAAAGTTGCATTTAAATCAATGATCTCACAAACTGAAAACATGTTGAAGATAATTTGGCTGGAATTATCAGAAGAAATCAAATAAATTTATGATCAGATTGATTTGGAAAACTATAACTACAAAAACCTTGTCAATGACAATTTAGCAGAATTATCTTATACTGACATTGAAAACTTAGTCTAAATTTTTAATGGAACAACATAAAATTTATAGAGCGATGAGAAAAATTAAAAGATCATGGAATTGGAAAAAAATAAGAAAAGATGGGAGGAAGAAGTTTAGGCTTTTGTTGAAAAGACTGATGAAATAATAAAAAAATTAAAATCTTTAAATAAATAATAAATTTAAGTTAAATAAAAATAACAAGAGAAAGGGAAACAAATTAAAGTAACTAGGGTAGATTGGAAGGAAGGAGTCAAGGAATTAAGAAAGTTAGAAGGTCATAATGATTGTATCAACTCAATATGCTTCTCACCAGATGGAACTACTTTAGCATCTGGTAGTGATGATAACTCAATCAGATTATGGGATGTTAAAACTGGATAATAAAAAGCCAAATTAAATGGTCATAGCGATTATGTCCTATCAGTATGCTTTTTACCAGATGGAACTACTTTAGCATCTGGTAGTGTTGATAACTCAATCAGATTATGGGATGTTAAAACAGGATAATAAAAAGCCTTATTAGATGGTCATAGTAATACTGTCTTCTCAGTATGTTTATCATCAGATGGAACTACTTTAGCATCTGGTAGCGGTGATAACTCAATCAGATTATGGGATGTTAAAACTAGATAATAAAAAGCC